ATCGGAAGAAAAACCCTAAACACATACTAGCATCACGCAGATCCTCGATCAAGAAATGAATACACGAACACATTCGAATCATTCCAACTAATAATCCTCGAACAAAGAAACCCAAACAACAAAACAATAATACAAACACCATAATTAGAACACAAAATAAAAAAATATCGCGTGAATTCATATAATAGAGAAGAGGCGAGACCTCCAAGAGCGAAATTAGCGATTCTCTCACGATTCTTCATCTTGTTCGTCTGTTTTAAGATAAGAAACGACCAGAACGAGATGCCAAAACAAAGCCTACAGCGACCAAGAACGGTGGTTCCGGTAAGATTTTGACCGGAGATTATGAGCAGAGAAATCCGGCGGTGGGGCCAAGCGCTGAAATTCCACTAGATCTGATTATGAGTCAGGAAAAAAAGAAACGGAGATAATTTGTTCAGAATATAAGTTTTACGGTCGGTGACAGATACGTTACGTGACAGATACATATGATTGGTTCGTTAACGTGTTATGACAAATTTCCCGGGGTTTGATTGGTCGATGGAAACCACATTTCGTCACTAAACCGAAGGCTTAATCTGTAATTTCTTTTATTTTGACCCAAGAAAACTCCTTTACCTATTTGCAAAACATTTTAAGAAACTTAATTATTACACCCAAATAAACATTTGTTATTTTAAATATTAAAAATTTAATATTAGAAAATTATTTAAACCCCATAAATCTATATAAAACATAAATTTTTGTTTAAAATTTTCAAATATATTTTATATTAAATTATGATATTATAAATTAGTTTAATAATATCATATTATAATACAGAGATTTTAAATAATAAACTAAAGATAATAAGGTGGACGTATAGTTCGGTTCGGTTTATTTGGCACTATTATTTTTTATTTTAGATTTTTCTAATCAAATAGTTATTTAGTTTTAATTGGTTCGGTTAGATACAATTATGGTTTGGTTTGGTTATATCTAATTAAAATTGTAACTAAATGATAATCATATAGATCTATTTGAGTTTGGTTCGGTCCGATTCGGTTATAATAATAAATAAATCAAAATTTAGGACATTGTAATCAATTGGTTATTTGTATGCTATAGTTAGAAAACTATAGAAATAAGTATATTATTTTAATTTCTCTATTTTAAAATACAAGCGATGGTATATATTTGTTATAGTGATTGATATTTTATAATTTACTAAACAATAGTTATGATTTTATGTATAATTATTTTGCTGGTGCTCTGTTTTCAGTGAAGGAAGAAAAAGAAAACTTCCTAGAATTATATTTTAAATTGATATGGAGAAATGGACAGACAAATTGCAAAACTTTAGGGAGAAAAATAATGTTTTTCCACCTATTAGTTTCAATATAATACGAATTGTTTTAGGAAAATAAAATATGTGTTTATTTCTTTAAAATTATCATGCTGATTTATATTTCTCTCAATATCAAAATAGTTTTTTAAAGGAGATATATTTCTTTATAGCATTACATTTCCAAGTTGGGAAAACTCTAAAAAATCATCTTTTGTATATTATGCACTTTAATACATTAAATTTAGATTTTTTATATAATACCCAAATTTTATGCATGCCTTATTCTAATATCCGAATTTAATAAATTATTAAAATTATGTAATTCAATCAATTGAGATCGACAAAATATATGATAAAACTAAGCCTGTTTATTTAATTTTTTTTAAATAAAGTGTGAGTACTATTATATGAAATATCAAAAATTTGAAAATGAAATAAAAATTTAGAAGTTTGAGATATTAGAATGGTAAATATACAAAGATAGGAGTGCGTTCTTTTTTGTAATTTACATTTCACACTCATATTACTTATAGATTCCTTGAGAATCTACGGAGGATCATCTTTGACAAAAGAAAATGTTTTTCCTTAAACAAAAAAAAAAGGTTTCAGAAACAAGTGTTTTTTTCCCGTTGCGGTATTCCAACTAAGATACCTTTTGTATGTGGATGCATGCATGCATTCATGATACATAACGAAATATATTTATTTTTACCTGAAAAACATCTGAAATGAAAGGAAGGTGCACAACAATAACTAAAAATAGCACATATCCAATCTATGCAATTTTAAAAATAGATTTAAGATATGAATAAAACATTGTTTGACAGCTTTACTTCCTCGAATGTGATTTTGATAAGGCCGCCATAGATCTGTTTCCATTTAGAAAAATCCATCATAAATTGCAAAAAGCTATAAATGGGAATCTACTTGTCATATATATACATATATCTACACACACATATATATATATGTATATATGTATATATTATTTTATAATATCAACCAGACAGCCACACTATAAAGACAAAACAGCATTCGATTGATTTCCCACCCAAAGCTTCTTTCTTCCTTCTTCTTCTTCTTCGATTTTCAACAAATCAAAGAAGAAAAAAACATGTGGCCGAAAAGGCTGGTCATCCTCATAGTGGCAATGATCCTCTACAGCGGAGCACAGGGGGCAAGTCCGATAAAGACTGTGGTGGTGCTGGTGATGGAAAACCGGTCATTCGATCACATGCTGGGATGGATGAAGAAGCTGAACCCGGAGATCAACGGTGTGGACGGGTCCGAGTGGAACAGGGAGTCGGTGGCAGACCCGAATTCGAAGCAGATATTCTTTGGGTCGGGTTCGCATTACGTGGATCCGGATCCGGGTCACTCGTTTCAGGCGATAAGGGAGCAGGTATTCGGGTCGGACGATACGAAGGCGCCGCCGGAGATGAAAGGGTTCGCGCAGCAAGCTTTGTCGATGGATCCGACCGGGAGCATGTCGGCGAGTGTGATGAATGGGTTCCTTCCTGATAAGGTTCCTGTCTTCCAGTCTCTTGTCTCCGAGTTCGCCCTTTTTGATAGGTCAGTTTTATTTTTTTTCTTGTTTTCGCCCTCAATCTCCTTTTTTTTTTGGATTTCTTTAAAAAAAAAAAAGTATAATTTTCTGTTAATAATATTCGAAAAGAACTGAAAATACCAAAATTTCCTTTTAAAAGTAAATACTTTTATTATAAAATAATATGGACACAATTCAAACTAACGAATTCAATATAAAAGTAACAAAAAAAAAGAATTAAGCTGTTTCATTTTCTATATATCCATACTTAGATTAATTCAAAAAATTAAGGTATTTTCATTTTGCTAATGCATGGATTACATAATTACGGGCAGAAAACCACGGGTTTTCCGCATTGCATAATCATACTATATATTCCCTAAATTATAAATTGGCTTCATTATGGTTCTGCTGACCAAATGAGTGTGAAAACTAATAGAGAAAATAGTGGGTTTCAAAATAAAAAACTATAACATAACATTAATGATGGTGGACCATATTATATATATATATGCGCGTGTGTGTGTGTGCATTTTTTTTTGGCAATCTTGTATGGATCACGATCACACCACATGTACACGTCTTTTTTCTGCAAACAGTTACCATATGGAAACAAAATGAAACTACTTCACCATCGATCTGCATTACTTTATATATATATATATATATAAAAACCCAACAATTTCTTGTTTTATATAAATAATCAACTTAAAAAAACCAATAAAAAGAAAATTACAAAGAGTCTTCAGGGGCTACGAAATTGATGATGACATCTGAGATATGGTTATATTTCTATGCATCGGATTATTAATTTACTATTATAAAAAAACACAAAATCAACATGATATATCCAACAATAAAATATAAAAATATAAAATTGTATTCCTAATGTTCTTGGTTAAGTAGATGGTTCGCATCGATCCCAACGTCCACCCAACCGAACCGGATGTACGTTCACGCGGCCACATCGAGCGGAGCCACGAGCAACCTGGGGTGGAAGCTGGCAAAGGGCTATCCGCAGAGAACCATTTTCGAGAATCTCGAGGAAGACGGGCTGTCGTTCGGAATATACTTCCAGAATATTCCGTCGACTCTGATCTATCAGAAACTGAGGAAACTCAAATACGTGTTCAAGTTCAAGCCGTACGGCTCTTTCAAGGATCATGCCCGAGAGGGGAAGCTCCCGAACTATGCGGTGGTCGAGCAACGATACTTCGACTTGGCGCTCGCTCCCGCCAATGACGACCATCCTTCTCATGACGTCTACAATGGACAGGTTTCATTAATTCCCCTCCATCCTTTTCATTATGCATGCAGAAATACCAAGCTCTTATTGAAAAAATTACGTGATTTTTTATACATTTGATAATTTATTTCGTGTAAGTACATGCATTTTCAAAATGTTACTGAATTCATGTTGAAATGGTAATGATCTTAGTTTTATTGATTTTATTAAAATATAAACATTCAATTCAACGGTCGTTAATTTTAATTACTTTCAAAATATAGATATTTCATTTTGTTATTCAATACGTAAACCTAAATATCGGAAATATATATTAAAAAAAATATGTGCAGGTTTTATTATTTTAAGAGTCGTTTTTCTCATTAAAAAAAAGGCTTATTGAACATGTCGTGTCTTAAAAAAAACACTAGATGCTGGTGAAGGAGGTATATGAAACCCTAAGAGCGAGCCCGCAATGGAACGAGACGCTGTTGTTGATAACTTACGACGAGCACGGTGGGTTCTTCGACCACGTCCCCACTCCGGTTAACGGCGTTCCTTCCCCCGACGATATCGTCGGTCCCGAGCCCTTCTTTTTCCGGTTCGATCGGTTAGGTGTCCGTGTTCCTACCATTGCCGTTTCCCCTTGGATCGAGAAAGGAACCGGTAAATATCTATATCTCTTCATTTTTTACATCATATCTATCTAGTTATACAATAATATATATTGTGTATATATATATGTATGTGTATAAGGTATGCGATAGATTTCGTGTACGTATAGAACCCGTGAAAAAAGCATATTGCGTCATACCACATTACAAGACAAAACTGTCTGGTAGTCTCTGCATTTTTTTTTCATTTGGGCATATTCGTACTTGTCTTGTGGTTGCTTATCCCCCGGTTTAGATGAGAACACACATACATACACACACACACACATATATATATACATATACATGTACACATACACGCAACAAATATATGTATGTGTGTGCGTGTTTGTATTTTGTTCTAACTATGTAATATTCCACTAAAACAGTTATAATTTCATCTCGCATGCTAATGCGGTTCATAAATAAAGTTATAATGACTGAATCCTAGCGACGCATACTTTTAATAGTTAATGACCCTAATTTACTATCAACATATAATAAAAATGTGTGTGACATACGTTGGATGTAATATCAATAACAATTTTAATTAGAGTATTGTATTAGTCATAACAATATCTAATTGATATTATTAACATAAATGTTTGGACGCAGTTGTGCATGGACCCAATGGCTTGCCGACTCCGACGTCAGAGTACGAGCACTCGTCCATTCCCGCAACGGTGAAGAAGATTTTCAACCTCTCTTCCCCGTTTCTTACAAAGAGAGATGCATGGGCTGGCACTTTCGAACATATCTTAAGTGTCCGGACCGAACCCAGAACCGATTGCCCAGGTCAGTTTCGCCTCCGCGTCAAGTTTTGATTTCGATAAAGATCGTATGATTTGGATATCCGAGTTTGTTTTTATCGAACTGAAACACATTTCCTATCTAGTTTGGTATGATAAGATAAGAAAAGCTATATCCGTTTCATAATATAACATTCTTGCGTATGTTTCTTACAAAAAGTCTTGGTTTTCATTGACTGTCAATGGCCAGAGAAGCTACCGGAACCGGTAAGGATAAGAAAGGGTGAGGCAAAGGAGGACGCGAAACTGACGGAATTCCAACGGGAGTTGATACAGTTGGCCGCGGTCTTGAAGGGCGACCACGTTCTATCGACTTTTCCCGAGGAAACGGGTAAAAACATGACGGTGAGGGAAGGGAAAATGTACATGGACGAAGCCGTGAAACGCTTCTTCGAGGCCGGACGTCTGGCTCTCAGGATGGGCGTTGATAAGGAACAGATTGTGCAGATGAAACCTTCACTCACCTCAAGATCTTCTGAAGGCGCAAAGTCCGAACCCGGAAATTAGAAGAAAAAAAAGTGTAGGATTGATTTTAAGGATTGAGATGAAAGAAGGCTCAATTCCAAGTAAAAATGGTTAGCATATTTTCTAAATAATTGTGATTCATTCCAATTGGATATGATTACCAATATAAATTAACAAAAAAATCTTTAGAAAATAAATGTTTTTGATAAAGATCAAATTCGAACTGAACAAATTTATAGTTTTTACAAAAACTAAATACCAAAGGTAAAACTAACCAAACAAAAATATAACATATACCCGAAGTATAAATCCCTTACCAGAAGCAACATTTTGGAACAGTTTAAGAAAAGGGTAACAACACCTCTACATTAAGACGCAAGATTCAATGATTTTCTTCACTGAAATCCATTGAAGACCCCAAGAGGGATAAAAGGGTATTTATATGAGCAATTTCAACAATTAATGTACAAGCACCAAAGACTTCTACCAACGTCAGCAGTTGATTTCGTGGTTTACCATATGAACAAGAAGACTTATACACAACCTAGTACTCTTTCTTCTGTTGCCTCTATGTACAAAATGAAAGGGGATGCTTTACCATAAATTGCAGAGATAAGTTTCTGCCTCTACTTGAGAAACCTTTCCATCCGTGGAATATGAACGTGCGGATCAATTCTTCTGAAAACTCCAGCTTCTCTTGCTTAGGCTGCTTAATATCCACCCAAAGTCGAGTAAATTCTGGCCGTGCTGTATCTTCTTCACAAGGTAGCTTCTGTAGGGTATTAGTATCTTCTTGAGACCTGTCAGAAAATCGAGACCGAATGGTTTCAGGATATATTCTCAAATGGTAACAGAAATCAGACCAAGAAGTCGCTCGCAAGAAATATCAGAAGTCTATATGCAGATTAAGAATGGCCCTAATTTGGAGAATTCACAAGTTCTCGTATAGATCCAATGTTGACGTATATATTCAGCGCCCCTCATTAGAACAATGAAAAGTTTCAGCTAAAGAACACTAATATTACTCAGAGAACTCTATGGTCTTAACTCTTAAAGCATATTGCTCAGAGAAATGTATCAACATTGGAAGTACCTGTTATGCACATTGTCTTGTAAAAGTGAGCAACATGAGCATCTCCCTTGGTACTTACGTACTTGTTTGATTCCAAACACTCGAGGAAAGCCAAGTCTGCTTTTAGCAGCTCGGCCTGATCATGTGTGTCATAACCAATATCATGGCAGTAGCAGCAGTAGTCTAACCAATCAATAGGTCTCTGATCCCAAATCGGGGAACCTTGGTCTTTTCCACTTGACCAATTGGGTCCACAATAGTGGCCATATCTCGGGAAAAGCTGCGAGAGAAACGCCCTCGGGCCTGTATGCCATGGAACCTTCGACACGTAAGGTCTGAAGCGGTAGACGGTAGTCACAACCTTTGTTCTCTGCAACCTCCGAGATTGAGCATGCTGTTTGAGCCCTCTGTTTATAGTGGTGGCTTTCTGCTTTCTGTCTTCAGAATCGGTTGCCCAAGGAATACCCGAGACAAGTGACCAGGCCCATATCTTGATGTCAAATAAGCCTTTCGCTGGCTCTTCCTGTTCAACGAGAGTAGTAGTCGTGGATATGATGGTCGCTCCCATGGCCACATCCTTCTTCGATGGATTGCTAAACCAGGAAGAAATACTCGGCAATCCAATGTTCATCCTTACACAATGCAATGCTTGCCACTACTTCAACTAGATCTGTACATCATTATGAATCTCTAATTAGAAAACCACAACCAGTTTGTCTGAATACCAGTGTGTGAACAGAGAAATCTTACAGACATCACAAAAACCAAAACCCTAACCACGGCAGCTGAAAAATCAACTTAAAACAGAACCATTGTAATCCCGACATAAAAATTCGGTGTTGAGAAGCTCTGAATCCCTAAAATATTCCGATTCATAAAGCTCCTAATTATCCAAGAATCCAAAATTCACAAGCAAATCGATAATAAAAGATGATAAGGGTGATCGATCATTTGGTATAACCGAGTGAAACTCCAAAAAATCGCCAATTAATCTCATCGCTTGTCTCGATTTCAACAGAAACATCTAGAATCACCCAGCTTTCAAAGTGAAATCAAGAGAGAAACATAAAGCCCAAAGTAGAGACCCTAAAACCACACACACTATGAAGAGTACTACAATCAACGAGAAAGAAATATTAACCGGAGAATTTCGCCGGCGACGGAGGGAAGCGGTTCCGGTTAATCGAGAAAGTGGGGCCGGCTTGGGAAGCGAGAGCCAGCGGAGGAACAATGTAGAATGTTTTATCCTCTTTATTTTTGTTTAAATAATAATATTGAGATAGTTATTTTATCTACAATTCCGTGTGTACACGTAATTATTATCGATTTCAAATTATTTTCTTATGAAAAACTTTGACCAATCAATAAGTGCCGTTATTGGACAGTTCTTGCAATGTAAATATTGAAAAAATACATTACAAATTATTATAGAAATACTGTAATGGTTTTTTTATGTCTAAGGACATGTATACCCTTAAGAATTCACAATATTTACCCTTCTACTAATTCATAATATTTACCCTTCTGCCATTAGGATTACATATTTATCCCCAACTTTCCACCCGTCGCCCACCGTCCCACGTTACGACATAGTCCACCCCTCGTACGATCTCTCGCGATCTACACTTCTCACCGACTCACCCCTCTCCTCGCGCTCCCCTCACCGCGTTCGTCGGGCTCAGCTCAACTCAGGTTCATTTTTTAGGGTTCACGTTTTAGATTTCTCGGGTTTCGATGGGTTAGGGTTTTCAATTCCATTGTGCAACATGTTTTACTGGTTTTATTGTTTAATATTTCACAGAAGGTTGGTTCGCTGTAAATTCTCATAATCGGGTACAAACCCTTACCTCTTTTGATCAGATTTTATACTAGGATTCAAATCCCATTGGGTTTTTCCAGATTTATCGTTCTTCCTTTGTTATTTGACGGAAATGGTAAATGTTTTAGTCTCTTTTCTTGGGAACTGTTGAGATCTCGCCTCTTGAATCTATGAATGTGTTGTGAACTAGATTTCGATATGCCGCGGAGACTACCCAATTATATGTTGATATACCTTTTCGCTCTCCAACCGTATCTCTATTGCAGTTTCATCTCGTTTGTACCGCGGGCACCATGGCGGTAAATCACGACAACGATAAGTACATCGAGATATGGAAAATCAAGAAGCTCATCAAAGCGCTTGAAGCTGCTCAGGAAAATGGCACAAGCATATCTCACTTATCATATCTCCTGGTGACCAGATCGCTCATGTTACCAAGATGTTGGGTGATGAATTTGGAACTACTTCAAACACTAACAGTCAATCTGTTTTGGGCACAATAACTTTTGCCCAGCAGAGGCTGAAACTTTACAGCAACGTCCCGCCTAATGGGCTTGTGCCCTACGCTGGTACGGTTGACAATGAAGAGGGCAAGGAAAAGGATGTCACTATTGACTTTGAGCCTTTCAGGCCTATAAATGCATCTCTCTGCGTGTGTGACAGCAAGTTCCACACAGAAGCTCTGAATGAACTGGTAGAATCTTATGAGAAGTTTGGATTTATTGTGATGGATGGAATGGAACCCTCTTTGGAACTCTCAGAGGTAATACCCAAGAAGTTTTTCACAAGTTCTCTGTTGATCTCCCGACAAGAAGAGAACAAGAGTCGGCCCTTAATTACGCCCGCATTGTTAGTGAGAATTGTCAAAACTATGCGAGGAAGGCTGCTGAACTTGCCACGCAGTATTTCATTGATCCTGCCACAAGCCAGCCTAATGTGGCCTGCCTTATACTTGCTGGATCCGGAGGCATCAAGAACGAACCGAGTCTGTCACATTTTGATCCCCGTCTTCAGGCAGAGATCCTTAACGTCGTTCATGTCTCATGTGGAGGAGAAGACGATTTCACTCAGGCTATCGAGTTCTCTTCTGAAATCCTGGCTGACTTGAAGGTCATTCAAGAGTAGCGTTTGTTGGGAAGGTACTTTGAGGAGATGAAGAAGCGGCAAATTGATTTCGAGTAGGGTAAGAGAGGAAGAAGTAACAGAATCCGTTGCTCCAAAAGAAAAATTGGATGTTTATGAAGTTGTGAGTATATAACGGAGAGACAATGCTTCTTTGTTAATGAGGTTACAAAGGGGTTGGGATTGTGGTGTGGTGTTTTGTGGGGGCCTTTCTTCCGAATATACCTCGTTTTCCATCTCTGGTCAGGTCGATAATATTAGTGATATTGAAATGTCGCAACCTATTGTAGAATCTGAGGATATTAGTGAAAGTGACAAGGATAAGAAGGATATCCCACATCATCTTCAGGTAACTGCTCTCAACATAAACTAGTTGGAAATTCCATAAGGTGGATACAATTTCCATAAGGATTCCAAAAGCCGATGGTTACACATTCTAAGACACGGTATTTTGTAAAGCCGATTGATAAGACCTCAAGGGTTGAAGTAACATTTTTTTGCTATACTGAGTTTTAAAGGAATGTCAACTATTGGGGTTTAGCAATGTGCTGCTGCTTAATAGCGAGACTTATGTAAGATTGTTGTTTGATGTGGTTTCCGCATCTCTCTGATTATTTGTGAATATAATATGCATGGCTTGTTGACTTTGTTGCAAGTGCAATAATTTTTTTTTATTTCCCTTTTCTAGGGATGGACTGTGGCTGGCGGTTGCATGTGGGAGAGATACAACCAACCAAATGATCAGAAAAATGCAGAAACCGCATTAAACATTCTTGCATAGATACAACCAATAAAAGTGAGTCTGGTTCGTGAACTTTTGTTAATCTCTCTTGAGAGAAAATATAGCTTCTAGAATGGATAGAGTTCAAAATTAAATGATTATTCACGAAGGTCTAAACATAAGTAGTGAAGATCAAAGGATTCATTGCATGAAGGTTAAGAAGTTGGCAAGTCACTAAAAGATTTATGAAAGTCTATGTATATCGTTAATGTTAAGACTAGTATAAGTACAAATCAAGTGGTGCTCTCTTGTATGCACTGCTATAGAGGGCGTTTTCTGAGTAATACTTAGGTTTGTACTTTCCATTCGATTTATTGTAACTTCTGGTTCGAACTTGTAATTCATAACTTTTGCAAACTCTGTAGTGAAATCAACATGGCCAGCGACAGCAAGTTACAATCAGAGCCAAGTGTCTCACGCACTGCGAGGTATTGGAGCCATCGTCCTCCCTCTACGTATTGCCTCAAGATCGAGTCTTTCGAGGAACTGCAAAATTCCGATAGCACTGAGAAGTATGAATCATGTCCCTTCACTGCGGGTGGATACAATTGGTACATTCTGGCATTCCTTCTATTGCATTTTTTTTTTTGTGTTTTATCCGAATATAGCTTTTATGGATTAATCTAGTGCACCTTTGTTGAAGTATTTGTCTTGGATTCCAAACGATAATTGATTTAAAGCCTAGTTTTTCCTCAAGCATCAATACCAAATTCTCTAGTTAATGTTTTTTTCTAACCTATTTTGGAGAATCTTAGGTTCTATTTTCTGCACCAAGCCTGCATTTTGTTAACCCTAAGTGTTGCAGTATGATTATTGGTCATGCGTGTAATTAGACATCTGAAAAACAAAGGTTTCTAATGTCTTTACGTCGGATGATGTTTTTTACGTTGGTGTTGGTGAGAGCAACAGGACGTTAATTCTCTACCCAAATGGAAACAAGCGTGAAAATGGGACTGGGTACATTTCTCTTTACGTGGCTATCGACATTTCATGCTTCAAAACTGCTCCTCGTGAGGTCTATGCAGATCTGAATTTTTTCATCTACAACAAGAAGGAGAATAAATACTTGACAATACAAGGTTCATTGTTATTGAAAACATTTTTTTTGTACCAACAGTGTTATCAATACATTGTGGACTCCAATTCTTCTGCAATGTAACTGTAACTGTGTGTTCATTTTTGTTGTAGTTGGTACAGAAGTGCAATGCTTCTACATGTTGAGAACAGTGCAGGGATTCTCTCAAGTGCTTGCAATTGATAACTTCAGTGATCCCGCAAATGGATATCTTTATGATGGAGGCCACTGTGAGTTTGGTGTTGATGTTTTTACTACTCCTCCCTTCCACCAATGCGAAGTCTTCTCGGTTACTAAGAAATTTGATAGCCCCAAATTCACCTGGAGGGTTAAGAATTTCTCGACACTGTCCAAAGATGTAAACAAATCTGAGGCGTTCTCCATGGGAAAAAGAAGCTGGTGGGTGGATTTCAAATTGCTTTTTTCTCGCAGCTGTGTGCGGTGTTAACTGCTTTTCACTGCACGTTGTTTAGGGTTTTGGATTTGTATCCACGTGGGACTGGCAGCGGAAAGGGCAATTGGGTATCGCTATTTGTGGAATTAGGTAGGAACGAAGTATTGAAGCCCGGGGAGAAGGTTTATGCTCGTTACAAGCTGCGAGTTCTTGACCAAAAGCAATCCAATCATAAAGAAAGTACAGGTAATGTAATCTTTAATTATTTCACCTTTTGAAGTCTTGAATATGAGAGTCTTTGGCTGAATAAGGCGTCCAAAAGCAATCCAATCATATTATGCCTTGATTTTTATTTTCTGCTCCATGAAATCGGTAAGCGTAATATAAAATCTGTTTTCTTCTGTAATCTGTAACTTGCCTTGGTCCAATTCATGTATACACTACATGGTTATATCAAATTGAAGAAGAGTGTTCCGGTTTCTTTGTACTTGCGACTCGGTATTGGCCTGGCCCAACTTACATGTTCTTGTCTGCTTCTTGCAGCTGAGTATTGGTTCGAGAAACCGAATTATGATTGGGGATACCCGCAGTTTGTTTCTTTATCCGATCTCCGAGATTCCTCCAAAGGTTTTATCATGAATGATGAGTTGGTGGTTGAAGTCGAATTTGAAGCTCTTTCTGAAACCAACTACTTTTCCTCAAACACAGAATGAGTACTGTGTGGATTCTACATTCTACATCGAAGCTGAAGTCAGTATAATACTATCTGCTATATCAAAGATGCCATTACATTATTGTGCAAAAGGAAGCTTCCTTGACAATGGCTTTGTTTTGTAGTATTATGCCCTTTGTATGTGGTTTTATCAATCGATGAAACAAAGATATATCAGAAGTTTCAAAATAATATCATAAAATACAAAACTGAGTTATAGTTTAGTTGATGAGCCAAAACCACGTTGCCAAACAGAGGGTTTGGTTACAGTAGTTGTGATTACCATTGCATGCACCAAGAAAATGATATGTTCTGCCTATATTCAGGTTACGAGACAATGGGACATCGAGACGAAGCCCAAACCGTCAATAGTTGTACCGTATGTATCCGACATGAACATGATGTTAGACAACAGCTCTACAGGCAATGGTATAAAAGTAAATTTTGTATAAATATCATATCATGGAATCATTACCGACAGTCTTCTATCCGACTAATTTCTTCAATCCAATCTTCCATGCGACTAGTTCCGGACGGGTGACTTTACCTAATCAATGCGTCCGAAAATAGCAACCAGAGTTAACCGTTATAAAAAATAAAAAAAATAAAAAAAAACCTTCGATGCGACTAATTTCATCAAAATCTTTGTCGGTGCTCGAGTTTTGGTCCGTTGAAGAGTTTCTTCTTGAAATCTTGATTTCTTGATTTGCAAAGCAAAACCGAGAGCATTTATTATTGATTTATTTATTTAATTGGTTGGATGGTAAATCAATAAATTATCAAAAATGGACAAAGGAACATAAAATTTTAGGTTTTAATTTGGTTATTTTTGTTTTATATTTCTCGATTTTAAAAACATTTTACATATTTAATTTTCATATTCAGATTTTATAACAAAATGTTTTCTGAGTAACCATAGGAGTTTAAGCCGATTGATTTGGAAACAGACATATATTTTGTAATGAAAACGAGTGAATATATATTTTGAAAAGATATTTTAAAAAAATAACCAAATATTGGAATAGTCGCAATGACTAAAGGACAAGGGAAGAAGGGAAGGTGGGGCAGCTGACACAAAAGGAGATGGGGTTTTGATTATGAATGGGAGTGCTGAAGCTTTAGGGGACAGAGCACTGAATGAATGATTTCGGTATTTATTTCATTACCCAATTCTCCAATCGTAACCAAACACATTTCTCCTCTGTGATTTTTCCCCTCATCCATTATCACATGCCCCCACCTTATCATTATTTAATTAAATTATATTTTATATAATGCAAAGCTCTCAAAGCAAATTGCACCATCAGAGTCACTGTGCTAAAAGAGAAATAGTATTTTTCAAATGATACCAATTTTGACATAAGGTTTCATTATTGAGAGCTTTAGTATGTATGTATGTATGTATGTATGTATGTATGTATGTATGTATGTATGTATGTATGTATGTATGTATGTATGTATGTATGTATGTATGTATGTATGTATGTATGTATGTATGTATGTATGTATGTATGTATGTATGTATGTATTCCGTTTTTCGTCCATCTCGACATCCATCTGCCGATTCTCCCAATGGTGTATGTTCCATAATCTATGGAGAATAAAAAGGGCAAACTATTTGTGGTCCTGAGAAAAAACTGTTCACCCCTCACCTAAAAGTAGCCTGTATGCTTCTTTTTTTTTAAAAAAAAAATCAGAATATATTGATATAATTATATGTATGTGTATATACACCCGTATGTATGCATAGCTTTTTTTTTTATGTTGAATTTGAGATTAAAAAAATACATGTTTGTTAATGCGCTTAGATAAGATTCCTGCCAATTGGCATTTGCTAACATCAGGAGTTGCTTTGTGCTTAATTTTGGCAAAAGCAGCACTACAAAAGTTGACCGCATCATTTTATATCATATTCTTTAACGTTTTCATTAATTTTTATTTGGAAATCAAAAAATCCCAAATAATAATAATAATAAATCATTTTAGAAAAAAAAAACCATTTTGAAATTTAACTTCGAATAAGGCCGAATCATAATTTACTAACATTCTAGATATCAAAATTACAGAACCTTTTTTTTATAAAAAAAAATAGAGATATCTTTTATCTTTATTTTTTTTTTTAGAAAAAAGAAATGTTCAATTCAATTGGGTTTTTTACTATTTGGGCTTTACATCCGACAACGGAGACTGTTGGCCGCGGATCCGGTTCGGTTAAACAAATTTAATTTTTTTTTTATGTAAAAAACAAAATTTTATTTTGATTGTTACATGATTACAAATTTTATTACTATAACCGAATTACATTATTACATAACCAAATCAAATAAAACTATAGTTATTATATCCTAACAGAGACCCGAAATAACTAACTTAAAGAATGGCGACCGAATTTTAGGTTAAGAAATTTCAAATATTTTGCTCGATAATACATGATGTTTGGAATTTGGTTAATAATTAGTTATTTTTCTTTTTTCATATGTTTCCTAAAATATATATAAGGGTGAGCTGAAAGAGAAAGATCAAAACATAAGATTACCAAAATAAATCAACACAAAGGAGTAATAGTTTATATATATATATATAGATAATATAATATAATATAAATATTCTTTCCGTCCAATAATGTAGTGTTGGCATCCCGAGGACACTTTCGTCATGCCAAAGCCCACCCACTTTATTTAATTTAATGATATATATATATATATATATATATATATATATATATAATTTTACTCTGCCTTATTAAACCAGCCAATCGCAGTCCGACGTTTAAACTTTCCACTAGATAATCACTTTTTAAATATGTTTGGACCGATTCGATAAATCTCTCGTTAAAATCCTACTAAGATAT